TTTCGGGTGTTTGGGGTTTTAGGATTAAAGCCTTTAGGGTTAAGGGTTTCGGGTGTTTAAGGCTTAAGGTTTAGGATCAAGGCCTTCAGGGTTAAGGGAGTCGGATGTTAACCGTGTTGGGTTTAGGATGAAGGCCTTTAGGGTTAAGGGTTTCGGTTGTTTGGTTGCTGACTTATTAATGCCATCCAACTGTCTGCAAGCCAGGCCAAAACCACACGACAGTTGTAGGCTTTAGCGGCGAGGAATGGATAGTCAGTAGCCGGCTTGTTGACGGGATAGTGCAGGTTTGCTGGCGTAAATCTTCGCTGGGAGCAAGAGATACCCTGAAGTTTGCAGTATCTTTGGAACTCATTGAATAGGAATCGAAGTTTGTCTTCGACCTCGCTGCCCCCGCCATATACCTCGTGCTCCATCAGCTGTAAAATCCCCTCTGCACAGAGATTCTGGAGAATTCCAAGGTTGAGGATGTGCATCGTACATCCTCGCCTGAGTGGCAACAGCAGTACTACGAGACGACCGGGGGGGAGCAGACCCTAAATCCCTAAATCACATAATCTACATTGAACAAGGTAATCGACCAAGAGTCAGCATCCGGACATGGAAGCCGGGGATGAGAATCATCGGGTTGGGGCTTCTGGGAAACACGTGAAGTAGTGCTTCGACATTCGAAAGTCTCTCCCAGCATGTCCCAAACTGGGTATACAAAGGACCTTTGCCCGAGAGGCGGGCTGCATTGCATCTGTGGCATATCAAACCACACTGCCAGTTGCGAAGTAACCCAAAAGCTTCTCGCATGTATTTTTGATCACCTTTGTATTCTGTAATCGCAAACCGTGCCGAAAGTTCGGGCTTGCTCGAAGCCAGTTGCTTCTGTCTGCAGCTCAAATCAGAAGTTGTGCCACTGGGGCCATGTATGGGGCGACGCCCCTGAAAAGCGCAGGTAAAGCTCCATGCTGCTCTATGGTAGATGGGCCGCAACGTCTCCTGCAAATGACAAAGTCCCAACATAAAAATCCCCGAAGCCGCAACCCAGTGTACCCTAAATATATTCGCAACCATCTTAAGCATCTCCTCGCCAGCACAGTAGAAGGAGTTCACAACGAAGTATGTAAAGTTCTTTCTCCATGGATCACCTTTTCAGGCACGAGCTTAATGATACACTTAAGGCTAGGCTTGCACATGTTATATACTAAATTCCCCGAAACCCCAGAACCTGAACCTTAAGTAAACCCATAACTAGCGAAATACAACCGGCAAAACACCAGGCCTTTGCACTTGTGTAATGTAAACGAAAACATGAGTGCCAGGAAAGAATCTCCTTGTTTCGTGAATTGAGCCTCGTCCCCATAGACCTGAACAGGCTTTCGGGTGCAGGGTTTAGGGTGCTCTGTTTAGGCTTGGGGCTTTGGTGTGTAGCGACTATAGCTATATTGCATCCCGAGCCAGCTAATTGCATTATTGTCCGAGGTGCAGAAATGGGAATGCTGTGCTCGTCGGCAGGATGCTGCTTGGCCCAATCGACATCAAGGGCCCTGAAGTGTCGCCAATATTGCCTTAGACTTTGCGGGAAGGTGTTAAGCTAATTAAGTGGCTCACGATTATAGAATTAGAGGGTTGCGAATCTCAATGTACAATTGAAGGGTTCAGCCTAGATGCACGATTTCCTCGTCAGGGATGTAGATTCGATAAGTGGACCAGATATACTCTATGTACTCGTGCGGGTCCAAAAACGGTAGAGCCTTCTCGACCCGTTGCTTTGGATCTTCAGGGTGTAGCAGCGGGACTTTCACCCAGTTGAATGCCTTGGATAGCTGGTGTAATTATTATGTCGGCTAGGCATCAGGCCTGTGGTTGGCGCTTTCGATTGGAATTGAGTTAGGCCACGATGGGAAGCTTCACAAATCGAAACAAATCGCGATCACAGTTCCCCAGTCGCTTCTTGTTGTACATCTTCGCGACTCGAGCAGTGGCTGCACTGACATTTTCGACTCCTGCTTCCTTGCAGGCGATACACAATATGATAATTGCATGCAAGAAAATTCTATTCCAAAAGCCCGCCCTTAAGTCCTTGACAGCTGCATAAGCATTTTCAACAGTGGCTTTCGCACTCTGACGGCCGTCACCCAGCGACTTGAACCTAAGCTATAAGCTGTAATGTAGTGTAGTGTGGTCATGTTTCAGCAACCAACGGATTCTCCGGGGGTCGCACATGTGTTGTGCCAAAGCAGCATCATCAGAACTATCCTCGCCATCAGATTCCAACTCGATGCCTGCGGGGGGAGGGGGCCGGAGTACGACTAGGTTGAACATTAAGCTTCAAGCATGCATTCTGCCGGGCCGAGGTTTGCTTTCTGGCAGCGAATCGGCAGCGGCAAGTTCCACGAGGCTCGCTCCTCTGGTTCCCCTTTAAAAAGCACTCAAACCTACAACACGACTCGCCCTCTCCGGAGCTTGTAGTGCCACAGCCCGACACTGTATGAAATTGGAGTTAGTAAGGATTAGGGCCCGGGATTAGTGTAGCTATAGGTTTAGGGGGTTCAGGTAAAGTCTAGCAGCAGCTTATAAGGGTTGTAGTGTAGCCGGACCGTACTCCCACATTATACGGTTTGTTACTTCTGTACATGCACACAAGCCCCTATGAGAAGGATGTTCGTGCCAACCAAGAGTGCATGCAGATATGATCCGTCTCCTGCGATCATGATCACATCCAAAACTGCTACTTTGCCGCCACCTTACCCTTCGCCTTGGCTTTTGCGGTAGCCTTTGGAGGCTTTTCTGATGCAGCAACCTTCCTCTCAGCCGCACGAACTGGCTCGGAAACCGTCTTGAACTTTTGCAATGCGGCCTCCAGCTCCTTTGCCCAGCTGTACTTATGAAGCACATGAGAACATATAGCTACCCATGCAGACAACAATTGCAACGTAGAGACAAGTCACACGGAAAAGGGGCTCCATCTTCACTTCCGAAACCTTCTGCCCGATTGCTGTTGCCACCTTGTACTTGACCTGCTCCAGGTGGATCTTGGCGGGATCCACATCCGCCAAAATGGCGGCCTTCATGTTGCTCGCCCTTGGAAGGATTCTGGTAGGTTAAGGTTTTAGGGGTAGGGTTGAAGTTTTAAGCTAGTATGCTACATTGTACTGTGAAAGCGCCATACAGTCAGGTTATAGCACCGCCTGGTAGCATATTGCAAACACCGGAGCCCGACTCGCACCCATATCTTTCTAGATGTCTCTACTATATAATATAGACCACGAATCCCTAAGCCCTAAACCCTGAACGAGCACAACACATAACCCTAAAGGTCATTAATTAAAGGCAAGAATACCCCCGGCTCTGACCCTAAGGGTTGCCCATTCCAAGCTACACATGCAAACCCGAACAGACTAAATAATGGAATGCTGTGTGTCCCTGGACAACATCCGTATCAATATTGCTAGATTTATGACGACAAACCCGGCTTTACGACCCTTAAGGGTTTCGGGGGTAACCGGGCTTACAATAAAGCAGGCTTCGGGCTTTTGATTGAAGGCTAAAGCAGGGCAGGGTTCAGGTCTTACGATGACGGGGTATGGGTTTATGAGTCTAGGAACACACCAGCAGCCGGCGAGGACAGGATCTGCTTGAAGCCAGCATAGTCGATGATTTCCTTGTTGGCCCGCTTGTCCGCCTTGGCTAACTATAAGTGAACTGGCTTAGGGTTTTGGTTTTAGGGTCTAGGGTTTGGTGGGTATTTTAGGAGTGTAGGGTTTGGGATAACAAACATCTGCACTCTCTAGCAGCATATAACCAACTGGTTGTAGGGTTTAGGGTTTTGGTGTAGGGCTTTGAGTTTGGGGGTTTAGGAGTTCAGGGTTTGGTGGGTTTAAATTATCACTACAGACATCTGCCTTGGTAAGCAGCAGCATACAAACGAAGTGGGTTGAGGGTTTTGGTGTAGGGCTTGGGGTTTGGGGGTTTAGGAGTTCAGGTTTCCGGGACAATATGTTGATCATCTGCCTGGGCTGGGTAAGCAGCATACAAACGAAGTGGGTCCAGGGTTTAGGGCTTGGGTTTAGGGTTTGGGGGTTTAGGAGTTTAGGGTTTCGGGGCAATATTATTATTCGTCATTACATGTACAGGCACCCCCCTGAAATCGCAATTCTATCGAGTTACATCCTGGGCCTTCTCCCTCCACGTTTTTTCCTTCTTCGGCTTCGGCTGCGGCTTCGGCTTTTGGTTTTCGTTGTTCCCGGGCTTCCCAGGCTGCAGGCTCGACTCCGGCATCTCTTCATCGAGCAAAGCATCCCTCAGCTTCATGAAAGTCTAAAGGTTCGATGTCGTGGAGTCTAGACGATTGTAAGTTGTATATATGCGACAAGCCGCATCGCTGTGTGCACATCGTTCTCGTCCACATCGTTTGCTTCGATCTGCATGTCGGCGGAATTCGTGAACTTCTTGTCGGAAATGTCCTTGATCGTGTCAAAGACCTTCAGCAACGTCATTTCCTGGCAGAGTGTTTAAAATGAAAACCCGAAGCATAGAGAACCCCATCATAATAGCCATATGAAACCTTTAACCCCGACCCTGTCCTCGACTTTGCTAAAGTTAGGATGCACTCGGAGGAGTTTTCCTGATAACCTGCTGTCCAGCTCCTTGTGGCGTGCGTAGAGGTCGTTTGCGAGGTCCTCGCCTAACTCCAAGCGGAGGGCCTTTAGGGTCCGCCAGCTGTAAACCTCTTTGGTCCGCTTGGATCTCTCGGACCTCCCAGCAGGAAACTATAAGCCCCAGCCCCGAACAACCTAGAGAATAGCACCAAGCGGTTTGGAACACAAGGTGCTTGGGGATCTGGGTTTTGTGAATCTAGGATCTAGGAGTCTGGGGCCTTGAATAGGAGTCTGGGGCCTTGAATTGGGTTGAACTTATTCCGTTGGTTGGTGTTGTTTCGGGTTCTGGGTATAGATGGAGCTAGGAGTTCCAGGCCCTGTGGTGTCTGCGAGTGCAAAGTAGGAGCCTAAAGCCTCCCGGGTTTGGGGGGTGTTATTCTTGGCGTTTCGGATAGAGTTGAGGGTTTAAGTGCATGGGCAGGTTACAGCTACGAGATGGGTTGTGTGGTCGAAATTTAGTCACTGGGTCGAGTTATAAGAGGAATCTAGTTCCGAGGCCAGGCGCTTTCCGAAAGGCGAACATTGTTTGGAGGCTAGGGTTCCTGGGCCTGAATATTTCGTAGATATATACGGAGCATATACTGAGCATTGTTATATATAATATAACAATGCTCAGTATATGCTCCGTATAGGCTTCAAGCTCGCTTGGTTTTGTAAGAAGATTCGGTGGGTTTAAGATTAAGGCTACTTGTAGTGGCAGGGGGCTTAGTAAGTAGTACTAGATCTACTTAGAACCTATATTATATATAAGTAGAGCACCCTAAATGGGGTGTTACCCCAACTATAACCCTGGGGTTTGTGGCTCAGGGCGGTGGGCGGCCTCATGGCGATCACCACGGAGCTCTTCGACCATTCCGCCCGACAGGACAAGTAATGCATGTACATCTCGTGCATACGATTGGTGCGGTCCGAGCCTAGGTGCATAGACACATGTACATGCACACACACACACATACATATCGTACAATTATATATATATATATATATATATATATAAATACAAATGTATACAATGTATACACACATAGTTCAACACGAGTGCTAGTCCAGCTAGCTAGTGTGTGTGCACATATAATCCTATACGTATCATGTATGTACATGTAATTAAGCTTTAAATACATAATAAGATAGCCCACCCCTATCTACTTATCAACCTTTCTACTGTTTGCGATAAGGCTCTTCGCTCAGCATCAGCCATCTTCTCCCGAACTTCCGGCGGCGATTTGGGGCCTTGGGTTGTGTAATCGATATGTTCATACATAGCTAAAGAATCCTAGACCCTTGATACCGAACGAAGCATTCCTGAGAACCAGGCTCCTCCCAGTGCGATAGAATCGGGCATAGAGAGCAGCTGGACCTAGC